CTGACGCTATTATTCTTCGCCATCAATTAAACAAACAAAAATAATTAAATCTTCTGCATTTAACCGGTTATTTTTTGGTCCTGCTCCTTTATTCTTTTTCCAGCTACAAGGTCAATGAAGATGGCCAAGTTCATCAAATTATGAAATGTGGAAGCACAACTATAGCAAGAACCAGAAAGTTAGGTAAAAAAATCAAGGTAAAAAAATCAAAAGGGTTTTCAAGTGATTGAGTTTTTAAGGAGGGTTTTGGAATTTAACTTGGAGAAGGTAAATTGAACTTGTCAAAATGGAAAAAGTTTAGTTCATTCCACTATTTTTGGCTTGGAAAATGTTGTTTGTATCAAGCAATTAGAAGAAAATTGTTTGGTCAATGGTGTTGAAAATTATTGTTTGAGATGGTGATGGCATTTGCGACGGCCACAGTGATGGCTTTTGCGACGGCCACAGTGGTGGTGGGCCGCAGGATTTTGGTGTTGTGGGTGGGTGGGTGATGCTGATTATGATTTTTAAAGGGAAATTACTGTGTAGACGAAAATACCCCTCCTTAAAATGGTCAAAATATCCCATTTTTTAATTTTTCAAGTTGATTAACGGTGATTTGGACGGTTTTTGTCCAGATGCACCTCTGGTGCGAATTTCTCAAAGGTTTGAGACCTATGGTGACACAAAGTGAAGGTTGAGATAAAATCTGCAAAAAAACGAAAAGGTTTGAGACTACGGCTGCAATTTTCCCTTTAAAGAATGAAGGTCAAACAAGTGCTGAAACTTGAAATATGTCGGAACGTCTTTAAAATTCTGAAAATTTTGATTGGACACAATGGATTGACAGAGATTAAACCATAATTGTCAGAAATTAATGTTAATTTGTCTCAATGAATTTGAAGTCGATAACATGAAGTTCTTTGCACAAATAGGTATTCGTGTAACACAAAACAAATTAAGTATTTGTCTCAATAAATTTGGAGTCGACTACATGAAGTTCTTTACTAGATCTATCGAAAGATATACCACAATTACGTGCCAATAAAAGGAGTATCAAGATTCACGTCATAAAATGGTTACTACCATTGACACTAAAGGCAAGTTACAATACGATGGACGGAACAAAACTAAAACGTATATTTAATAGCAAAAATACACCTAAGTGTCAATCGATGTGCTACCTATTCAGCACAAATAGCTCTCCTTGTGGCAAACCCAAGTCTTTTTCAATGTCAAAACAAAGATTTATCCAAGCGAAATGTGTATTAAGATTCATGTCAAAACAAAAACTTGCTGAAAAATAAAGTCAACAGGGATCCTGTTCTATCTTCAATGTAGAGAAGGCAAGTTTGGAAAATTACTGATAAGCAGGTGACAATATTCAAGTTCATTACCATCCAACTTACAATTAGCCAAGAATGAGATTTCTACATTCATCACAGTGGAAGAAATGAAATTTGTGTAGTAAGGATCAAACATGAGAATGCATTGGCATGTCTAAAGATGCAAATTAACACGCCGGTTTCTTTCATAGTTAGCTTTTATTTTAACCTAAAAAAGAAAAGAAAGAAACTATATAATTCGTAAATGTTGGGTATTTTTGTGATGTCCAAATAACTCCGAGGCAATGATGAAAGAGGAAATTACATAAAACCGGGTATTTAAGTTTTCAAATTCAAAAATCAGATCTAAAGTTTATTTAATCAAAAATCAGGTATTAATTTGATTAATAATTAAAACCCAAATGAAAACCTAATTTACTTCCAATCCTCTCTCACGATATCACCCATCTTTCTCTCTCTCTCTCTCTCTCTCTCTAAACACCGTCCTCTGTAAACACCGTCTACTTGGAAGAGAATCTCCAGCGCAGAGGCTTCACCACTAGAAGATGTGAGTGTCGCGCTCTGTTCGGTGATCTATGCTCTGTTAGGTGGCGCTCAGATCTGTCACACAGCGTCGATCTGAGCCCCGCTGTGAGCCTCGGTGTCTATGCTCACAACGGCGACTCGCGGATTTGTGTGGTGGGTGTAGGAGCACTGGAGTTGGGTGTAGGAGCACTGGAGTTGCTGATGGTGGGTGTAGGAGAATGGGCTTCGCTGCTGGGGGCGGGTGAAGATGAGGGCTCATCCTCAGGGGACTCTGCTGGGGTGGATGAGTTGGTAGGAGGAGAGGAAGCGGGGCTTGAGGATATTAGGGCAGAGGATTTTGGTGCCGATGTGTTAGATGATGATTTAGGTGCAGGCACTGGTGAGGATTATGGGTAGGCTGCCGGG